CAGCAGATCATCCTCAGCTGCCTCAAGCAGAATGTATAGGTTCAATGGGTCCTGCACTGTGCTCAAACTAACCCCAGGCTGATGACATCCATCTGAAAAGTTATGGTTCATAAGTCATTCAGCCTACTGTCACTTCATACTACCACCTGTGGAGAAATGAGCAGGGGCCAGCCATGCAATCAGCCTGAGTTGCCAAAGATACTAAACAGCACACCAATATTCAATGAAGAGCCATGAAATGAGCCTCTATTCTTATGTTTTTGACTCCCACAGACTACTGAGGACCTGGTAAAAGAAGAGAGAGTCCTCACTCCTACTGTGCTGCATTCGCCTGATCTTTAGCCATCTTTAGGCACATGCTGAAACTGCCCTGCCTAGCTTGACTACAGAGGACTGGTTATGCAGTGGTTAGCAATGCAGTCCATATGTCATCACTCTGCCAGCTATGTAGCAGTTCTCTAAGGACTGGTTAGCCAACAATTCTCTTGCCGTGGTCCTGAACGCCACCTGCTGGATTTTTTAAAGAATCATTACACATGGAAAAAAAAAACCTTTGCTCATGGAAAAGTCATACAGAGGTCAGATGAGTAATAGTAAGCAAGCACCAAGTCTACCCTCAGTGCAGCCTACAGGCAGGGCTCCCGTGAAAAACATGTGATGACACAGTGAACACACCCTTGTCCCTGCCTGCCCCTAGTGAACAAAGGAGCTGAATAAGAAGGAACTGAATAAGAAGGTTCTTGCGCTAGGCATCAAGTAGCAGAAGGTTCAAGCGACCAATGAAGACACAGTGAGCCTGCATTCAAACTTAACTGCCTCCCGGAGAATGACTAGGACCCCTTAACAACTGGGAGAGTCATCACTCCTACCTTTACACATGTATCAAACTTTAGGGACTAGTCAGCTGCACAGTGAGCCAGCTTTCATGGCTGTCTCCTTCAGGGATGTGGTTATGGAATATTTTGCAAAGCACTGAGACTATCCTCAAGATGGAAGAAAAACAGCGGGCTTGAGAAGCACATTCAGACCAACAATGAGCTCATGCAGACCTGAATTTCATACACTGGAACATTTCAGACTAGTTAGGCATTCAGGGAAGATGCAGTCAAACAATCATTGAGAGCACTGAAGTGACATTGTACAACATACAGTGAGCTTGAACTTGCCGCAGACATGAGCCAAGGCCACTCTTTGAACTGGTGACCAATGCATTGAGCTTGACCTCTTCCCACAATCAAACAGGTGAAACATTGGGTTCTACCTAGAATTGCAGACACATCAGATGTGTAATGAATTGAAGGCAGGAGAAACTTGAGGAGCTCCTAGATACAGTGTGAGGCTGCCAGGCGCCTGGACTTCAAGCACTGGACAGTTGAGGTACAGATTGCACCTAAGAAACCTGCACTCATATGGCTGGCACACAGTGAAACATTTAGTACATTTTTGATGCATTGTGAGAACCACCTGCCCTTGTCCACCTTCCAGTGCAAATGTGAGCTGCAGACTAGACCGAAGTGAGTTCATTTTTCATCCCTGGCAATATGAAGTACACTGTTCAGGGGCCGTTTTTCATGCAGAGTGCTCATGCTGTACTCATATGGCTGGCACACAGTGAAACATTTAGTACATTTTTGATGCATTGTGAGAACCACCTGTCCTTGTCCACCTTCCAGTGCAAATGTGAGCTGCAGACTAGACCGAAGTGAGTTCATTCTCATCCCTGGCAATATGAAGCACACTGTTCAGGGGCAGTTTTTCATGCAGAGTGCTCATGCTCTCCACTGCATACCTACAGCCACCTGAAAAGGGATGGTTATCGAGTCAGTGAGGAAACCTCACTTGGGACAGAACCCTGTTGAAAATGAGCAGGGCATGGCCATGCACTGATACCACCAGCGATGCAGCATGCAAAAGTCCCCCAATTGAACTATGGATGGCCAATATCTTAGCCTGTATTCCCACTGTTGCCTCCAGAAAAAGGCCTAGCATGGTTTAGCAGCACAAAGAGGCTTCAATCTTATCCTTCTGCATGAAGCACAACATGCTCCATCCAGCCCGCTGAATGATGAGCAGCAGATCTTCATCCAGGGTTGCCTCCAGCAGACCATTTAGGTTGCATTGGTCCTGCAGTGTGCTCAAAGTAACTCCAGCCTGATGCCAACCATCTGAAAAGGAATGGCTCATGACTCAGTCAGCCTGCCGTCACTTCAGACTACAACCTGTGGAGAAATGAGCAGGGCCTATCCTTGCAGTCAGCCCGAGTTGCCAAAAATATCAAAGAGCACAACAAGATACATTGGAGAGCTAGACAGTGAACATGCATTCATACTGTTTTGACTCCCACAGACCACTGAGCACCTGTTAATAGCACAGAGGGCCCTCAATTCTATTTTGCTGTATTCACCAGATATTCACTGCATCTTTAGGCCCTTGCTGAAACTGTCATGCCTATGTTGAATACAGCGGATTGCCGATGGAGTGGTTAGCAATGCAGTCCACAAGTCATCACTCTTCTAGCTATGTAGCTGTCCTCTGAGGACTGGTCAGCCAACAGTGCTCTTTCTATGTTCCTGTTCTGCCTCCTGGTGGACAGTTGAAGGATCAGTGAGCATGGAAAAATGCCTGCCTCATTGAACAGTCATACAGAGGTCTGGCAAGTACTGGTCAGCATGCAGCAAGTCTGCCCTTGGTGCAGCTTATAGGCAGGCATCATAGAAGGAACTTTTGGCCACACAGTGAGCACAGCCTTGTCCATGCCTGCCACTCATGAACACAGGAGCAGGGCCTAGGAACTGAATAAGAAGGCTCTTCCCCTACACGTCAAACAGCAGAAGATTCAAGTGGCCAACAAAGACACAGTGAGCCTGCATTCAATCTTAGCTACCTCCCAGAGAAGGAGTATGACCCCTTAACAGCTGGGAGAGTGATCTCTCCTACCTTTCTGCATGTATCAAACTTTGGGGACTAGTTAGCTGCACAGTGTGCGAGCCCTCATGGCTGTCTCCTCCAGGGATATGGTCAAGGAATATTTTGCAATGCAGTGACAGTGTCCTCAAGCCGACAGAAAAGCAGCATCCTTGAAAAGGCAATTCAGACCCACAATGAGCTCACACAGAACTGACTTTCATACACTGAAACATTTCAGACTGGTTAGGCATTCAGGGAACACGCAGTCAAACAAACAATCATACAGAGGTTTGAAGTATCATGGTACAATATGCAGTGAGCCTGAACTTGTTGCAAACATGAGACAGGGCCATGATCTGAACTGGTGAGCCATGCATTGAGCCTGCCCTCTCGCCTAATCAAACAGGTAAAACATTGGATTCTACCTAGAATTGCAGATATCGAAGATGCATAAAGATTTGAAGGCAGAAGAAATTTGAGGAGCTCCTAGTCACAGTGTGAGGCTGCTAGGCCCCTGGACTTCAAGCACTGGACAGTTGAGGTACTGTTTGCAACTAAGAGATCTGCACTCATACGGCTGGCATGCAGGGAAACATTTAGTACCTTTTTGACACATTGTGAGTACCACTTGGTCTCATCCTACTTCCAGTACATCTTTGAGCTGCACACTAGCATGAAAGGAGTTCACTCTCATCGCAGGCTACATCCAGTAGACTGCTAGGCACAGTTATTCATACTGAGTGCTCATGCTTTCCACAGCATGCATACAGCCACCTCAAAAGGAATCGTTATGGAATCAGTGAGAAAAACTCGCTTGGAGAGAACCCTCTTGAAAAATGAGCATGGCATGGCCATGCATTGATACCACCAGCAACGCAGCATGCAAAAGGCACCCAATTGACAAATTGATTGCCAAGCTCTCAATCTGCATTCCCACAACCTGGCTACCCCAAAATGCCTAGCATGATTTAGCAGCACAGATAGCCCTCACTCATATCATTCTGCATGAAGCACAAAAGTCTCCATCAAGCCAGCGGGATGATGACAAGCAGATCCTCATCCAGGGTTGCCTCCAGGAGACTGTTTCGGTTTCATTGGTGCTGCAGTGTGCTCAAACTAACCAGAGCCTGATGCCAACCACTTGCAAAGGATTGGCTCATGAGTCAGTCAGCCTGCCATGCCTTCAGACTACAGCTTCTGGAGAAATGAGCAGGGTCAAGCCATGCAGTCATCCTGAGTTTCCAAAGATAGCAAACAGCACACCAAAATACAGTGGAGAGCCATGCAGTGAGCCTGCATTCCCATTGTTTTGATTCCCACAGACCAGAGAGGACACGTCAATTGCACAGAGAGTCCTCACTCCAATTCTGTTGCATCTTTAGGCACAGGCTGAAACTGCCCTGCCTAGCTTGACTACAGCGGACTGCTCAGGCAGTGCTTAGCAATGCAGTCCCCATGCCATCACTCTGCCAGCTATATAGCAGTACTCTGAGGACCGGTCAGCCTACAGTGCTCTTGCCATGGTCCTGTGCACCACTTGACCTATGGTTTAAGGATCCATAGGCATGGAAAAATGCTTGCCTCATGGAAAAGTCATACAGAGGTCTGGCGAGTAGTGGTCAGCATGCAGCAAGATGGCTCTTGGTGCACCTTATAGGCAGAGCTCCCATGAGGACCATTTGACCACACAGTAAGCACACCCTTATCCTTGCCTGCCCCTAGTGAACAAAAGAGCATGACATAGGAACTGAATCCCTTCCCCTAGGCATCGCAGAGCATAAGGTTCAAGTGGACAAGAAAGACACAGCAAGCCTTCATTCAATCTTTGCTGCCTCGCGCAAGATGATTAGGACTCCTTAACAGCTGGGAGAGTCATCCCTCCTACCTTTCTTCATACACCAAACTTTGGGGACCAGTTAGGTGCATAGTGAGAAAGCTCTCATGGCTGTCTCCTCCAAGGATACGGTTATGGACTATTTCACAATGCAGTGAGACTCCCCTCAAGACAGCAGAAAATCATCGGGCTTGAGAAGGCCAGTCAGACACACCATGCGGTCACGCAGACCTGACTTTCATACAGTGGAACATTTCAGACTGTTTAGGCATTCAGGGAACACGCACTCAAACAAATGATCATACAGAGTTCTGGAGAATCATTGCACAACATGCAGTGAGCCTGAACATGCTGCAGCCATGAGCCAGGGCCAATATGTGAATTGATGACCCATGCATTGAGCCTGCCCCCCTCCTAGAAATAAACAGATGAAGCATTGGTTTCTACTTAGAATTGCAGACATGTGAGACTTGTAACAAACTGAAGGCAGGTGAAATTTCAGGAGCTCCTAGACGCAGCATGAGACAGCCAGGCCCCTGGATTTCCAGCACTGGATAGGTGAGGTACAGTTTACAACTAAGAGACCTGCACTCATATGGCTGGTATACAGTGAAACAGTTCCTGTTCAACACATTGTGAGGACCACCTGGAGTCGTCCTCATTGCAGTGCAACTTTGAGCAACAGACTAGCAGGAAGTGAGTTCACTCATCCAAGGCTACATCAACAAGACTCAGTAGGAACAATTATTGATGCAAAGTGCTCCTTCACTCCACAGCATGCATACAGCCATCTGAAAAGGAATGATTATCGATTCAGTGAGATAACCTTGCTTGGGAGAGAACCCTGTTGAAAAATAAGCAGGGCGTAGCCAAGCATTGATACCACCAGCGATACAGCATGCAAAATGTACCCAAGTGAGCAATGGGTAGTCAAGCTCTCACCCTGCATTCCTACTACCTTCCTCCTGCCAAGGGCCTTGCATGGTTTAGCAGCACAGAGAGCCCTCACTTATATCATTGTGCATGAAGCACCACAGGCTCCAGTCAGCCAGCTGGATGATGAGCATCAGATCATCCAGCGTTGCCTCCAGCAGACAGTTTAGGTTCCATTGGTGCTGCACTGTGCTCATACTAATGCCAGCCTGTTGTCAACCATATGGATAGGAATGGTTCATGAGTAACTTTGCCTGCTGTCACTTCAGACTACAACCTATGGAGAAATGAGCAGGGCTTCACCATGCAGTCAGCCCGAGTTGCCAAAGATAGCAAATAGCACACCAAAATACAGTGGAGGGTCATGCAGTTAGCCTGCATTCCCACTGTTTTGACTCCCACAGACCACTGAGGATCTGTTAATAGCACAGAGAGCCCTCACTCATACTATGTGGCATTCGCCTGATCTTCAGTGTATTCTTAGGCCCATGGTCAAACTGCCCTGCCTAGCTTGACTACAGCAGACGCTTATGGAGTGATTAGCAATGCAGTCCACATGTCATCACTCTGCCAGCTATGTAGCAGTTCTCTGAGGACTGGTAGGGCAACTGTGCTCTTTCCATTATCCTGGACGCCACCTGGTGGATGGTTTAAGGATCAGTAGGCATGGAAAAATGCTTGCCTCATGGAACATTCATACAGAGGTCTGGTGAATTAGTGTTAAGCACTTCGTAAGTCTGCCCTTGGTGCAGCTTATAGGGAGCGCTCCCAATAGGGCAATTTGGCCCCAGAGTGAGCACACCCTTGTTCCTTCCTGCCCCTAGTGAACAAAGGAGCAAGTCGTAGGAACTGAATATGAATTCTGTTCCCCTAGACAACAAATAGCAGAAGGTTTGAGAGGGCAATCAATATGTAGTGAGCCTGAATTTAATCATAGCTGCCTCCCACAGAATGACTAGGATCCTTAACAGCTCAGAGAATAGTCACTCTTACCTTTCTGCATCTCAGAAACATTGGGGAGTAGTTAGCTACACAGTGAGCAAGCCCTCATGGCTGTCTCCTCCAGCCATGTTTATGAAATATTTTGCAATGCAGTGAGACTGTCCTGAAGCCTGGAGCAATGCAGCAGGCATAAGAAGTTGAGGCAAACATACCACTAGCTCATGCAGACCTAACTTTCATACAGTGGAACTTTTCAAAATAGGCATTCAGGGAACATGCAATCAAGCAAACAATCATACAGAGGTCTGGAGAGTCATTGCACAATATGCAGTGAGCCTGAACTTGCTGCAGTCATGAGCCAGGGCTCCTTTGCAAATTGGTGAGCTATGCAAGGAGCCTACTCTCCTTCCAGGATCAAACAGGTAAAGCACTGAGTTGTACCTAGAATTGCAGACATGTCAGATTCCTAATGAATTGAAGGCAGGAGAAAATTCAGGAGCTACTAACCACAGTGTGAGACTGCAAGGGCCCTGGATTTCAAGCACTGGACAGTTGAGGTACAGTTTGCAACTGAGAGACCTGCACTCATAC